CGAAATAGGACTGATGACGGCGTAAGTCTTTCGAGTTGTGTATGGGAAGGGGAACCTTGGGAGACTTGGGAAACTTGCCGCCGGGTAACCACCCGTACCGCTACCGCTTGCAGTTCCTTGATGAGAATAAAGCCCATTTTGAGCTTTGGAATCGACCGACGTGGTGAGGCACAGTGGAAGCAGCCCGCTGACGATGGCCGCTAAGACGGACGTGCGCACCATGGCTCTTGCTTGGTAGTTGGCAAGCGCGGAATTCCTAGCAGATTCGTAAGCTGGTTGATATGACCAGGGGTTCTTCGCTCAATCACACGTCGTGGTCTTCTGTGGCATCACTAGGGAGGAAAGAAAATAAGGCACATGGACCTGGGTATATGATATCTGACCATTTGGGCCCGGCAGTTACGCATGGGGTGCTAGTATCGGGATGGGCGGGTAAAGACCCGCAGCATCTGGTCTTTCCTACAGCCCAGCAATCACGACCATAAAACCCGATGTCCTGGGTGGTGTGTTCGCGCGGGTATAGGGCTAGCGGGTCTGTAAATGAAAGATCGTTAACCCAAAGCAATACACGTTTAAACGCCCACACCCCCTGCATTCTTGTCGTTGTAGAACCAGCTATGGCTCACCTCACCTCCAGATACCCAGCAGCCGCATCGAAGCGAACGCCCCAACCCACGATATTGCGGAATGGGCGGCGGTGATGTACAACCCCCCAGTTTTCGTTCCTGTTCGCGAACCCGTACCACATCGCGGGCCGCCACCCGGCCACCCACGGCACCAAAGGTGATGCTCTCGGCGGGCGAACACCGAGTTGGCGAGGCGCATGTTGAGGAAGAGGAAGGGGGTTTCGGCACCGGTGCCGGGGCGGAGGTTGTTGTAACTTGTAGTTGCTGATGGTGCACCAGCGCGTGTTGTAGTGCATGCAGCATTCGGGCTTGGCCGGGCAGGCGCCGTTTATTAGTGCCGCAGATGGGCAAGGTCGTGTTGGTCTCGCCGCAATAGTTGGACCACGTGGTGCCGGTGGCTTGGAGCGGCAGCGGGCTGGATCTACACGGGGTGCTAGGTCGGGCCGAGGTCGGAGTAGCAACGGAACCACTGGGCGCCGAGGTCGGCGCCGGCGGGGATGGTGATGCGGCACTCCCGCGTGAAGTTGATGGCGAGGTTCTCGACCGCCAGCAGGATGGTGCGACTGGGCTGCCCCACGCCGTCGCTGTGCCCTGAGCTAGGGTGAGCAGTATCATGTGGGCGAGGCACTATGCAAAAAAGAAAATTTCGTGTGCCCAGATTCGTCTTGTGCAACAGGGGAGAAGCGCCTCGCCTTTTCAGCACGCCCTTGCATGTTTTGCTGCTTGGGATGTTGGTTGGGGAAAACCACGCGACGGGCCTTTCAAATTTTAGCACATGGTCGATGAGACCGAGGCTAGAGACATAGTGGAGCCACTTGTGGAATACCATAGGCGGCGGTCAAGCGAGATATGGCCCAGTCAACAACACCAGGGTTGATATACGGGTATCATCACACTTCGCAAATAGGTGTGTGTTACTAAAAGTCACGCCCGGAGACCAGGCCACTATTTTCAGAGTTAACATATGAAATTGGGGAGTTGCAATGAGTGTTACGATGCGCAGGGCCCGGCTTAATTTTGCGCCGTCCTTACGGTTGCAGTTGACCTGCTCAGCCTCCACGCAAATGGCAACAAACCCCTCAAAAATGCAAGCCAATCGTCTTTCTCGGTCTCTCGCTTCACAAATTACATGCGTTTCTCTTCGGTCGCTCTTTTGAGCCTCACCCGCCACTGGTCGTATATCGACCTTTCGCCGTTGCTTTCCGGGCTCAATTATTAGCTTTGAGTATCATCGCTACGATCTTGGCTGACAGGGAAGTCTGTTTTTGCAGCTGGAGCTTGGCGTGATTTCCCCTGGTTTACGGAGACTGCAGCTCTCCCATTGAGGACTTTCGTCAACTTGCCATCACCTTGGCTTGAGCTGTCGTTCTCCCCTACGCCAATGTGACGCCAGTGGCATGTTCAAAGGGGCGACCAGAGCCAAAGATAACGATCTCATCTCACTTCGGTCACTAGTATTTCCCGTGTGATCGAAAGATGGTGAAGAGATTTTTACAGCATGGCATGAATTCCCCATCATCATATCGCATACTGAACAGGCCACCGAGACGCTCCAGGGTATTTCGGGTTTCTGCATGTTAGCGATAGGCCCACAGTGCCTCATAGGGCAGGACCGCAGCATCCCTGCTGCACAGCTCCAAAAGGTGCTGCCAAGCGAAGATAGCCGACAGCACCTAGTGTGTACGCGATAGTATGTGCGGACTCCTTCCGAGAACCTGGAAGGTTCTCGGATCACCGGTGCCGGATGCCCGGTGTCAGACCTAAACCCCTTGGCACAAGCTGGAGTGTGCAGGTGGTAGGTACCTGAAAATGAGGCTCTTGCTGACGGCGCACCCCGGACTCACACCCGTGTAACACCGCATAATCCCGCGGCACAACGATTGGCCATGACTGGCGCAGCTGAACGGCCCCATCTCGCCTCCAAAAACAGCGGCCAATAGAACAACAAAAGCATTCACCTCATCTAAAACACTGGGGCTGTGGGTGGTACCCTCAACGATGCCCTTCGTCAAACAGCATGCACTACAACTCTTCAATGTCTCGTCGATAATTGCCAACTCCACAATTCTGTGTTGACGGGCAATAAGACGGGAAGACTCGATGCCGTTGATGGACAACACGTCGTGATGATTCTGTCTATAAAAGGGAGCAGCAGTCGCATTGTCAACGAGATCTTCTCATCATCATCATCCAACAGTCTCATCTTCAAGACACTCATCGATCACCAGCCTCTCACCTAGCCAACTCCTTCCCACCACATCCACCACAATGAAGCTTTCCAGCGTCATCCTCGCCGCCACCGCCCTCGCTGGTACCTCGTCCGCCTACAGGATCTCGGTCTACAGCAAGGACAACTACCAAGGCACCCAGAAGACCTGGACCTCGGGCGGCAGCCACGCCGTTGGCTTCACCGTCAAGTCATGGATCTGGGAGTCCCCGGCCGGTGATGGCTGCTGCATCGCCTTTTGCAAGGGCAGCACTGTACGTTCTGTTCTCCCTACACGGTGTGATTTCTCGGGACGCGCTCATTAACATGCATTTTCAGAACGTCGGCCGCTACTGCGACGGTGCCCGCAAGGCTGTCTCCAGCGCTGGCGTCACCAAGGTCGTCACTGGCTGCGGCAGCGCTGTTCTCAACTGCTAGACGGGATGGGCTGGATGGGATGATTACAGCGGGGATGGTGAGGGTGTAGGACCAAGGGCGTGTAATATGTTTTCCGTATATTGCAGTTACAATCGACATGCTTCCTGTCCTTCCTTCTATCATGCGATGCATACGCGCTCCCTGTCATTCTTGTCCTCTCCTTTGATCGGATCACCTTGTCGCACCTCTCGCCGAGCCTTTGACACTTGAAGACGACGGTCGGGAGGAACCCGTACCCTGTAACCCATCAACGTATTTGCTCGGCCCAATCCACAACCGCTGCCACCACCTCCTGATCAAGATTGGCGGTTGCCGCCATTCTCTTCGACGAAGGGAAGTCAATGTCTGCCCAGGAATTACGGGACATCTCATCCATAACGCGATGCATTGTTGTCGTGTTCCTGGGGACGACCAAAGCAGGTCAATCTTGACCCCCAATTCATCCAACCGGGAGCAAAAGTGTGCCAAGCGACGCAGAATTACATCCATGTACACCACACACTTGGAATCCAAGCCGTTCTCCTGGCACTCGGAAAGTCTGTTGTTGTCCAAAAACCTCAAAACGGTTGCAGCATCTGTGAAAATACGGACGACTCCGCCGACAGCCTTCCGCTCTGCGATATCGATGGCCATTGCCAAAGCCTCGGCAATGGCCGTACCTTCAGCGTGGTTACTCGAGTAGCACCTAAAAAAAATCGGCCATTATTAGCTTAAAGTTATGTTGAAGATAGGTAACAAAACAGCCCAACGATAATGTTAGTAGTAAGACGGGTAGCTGGTTAATGCATACTTCTCAATCATGTGACCTTGGGCCGTAAAGTGCCCAGTGGCGCCAATGTTTGCTGTCAAGACAGCAAAACCCCCATGGTAGGGTGGCGAGGGAGGCTTCACCCCACCAGAGTTCCTCTGCTGCTCGGATCCATCCACAAAAAAAACCAAATCAAGGCGCCCCATGACTGTAGGGGGCTTCCAGGCGGCCCCCTTAGCCTTTGCGATGGCAACTTTGTCGGGGTCTATAAACACCCGCACGTTGCGGAAGTTTTCCGCGGGCTGTGAGGCGGGCGGCGGGGTCGCGGCGACAGCGAGGGGTGTTGCAACTGCGGCGGCCGGGGCCGGGGCAGTGGGCGAACCAGCAGGCGTGGCAGCAGCAGGGGGCGAGGTCAGAGCAGCGAGCAAGAGAACGGGCAAGGCAACAGCAGAGGGCGAGGTTGAGGCCGCCCGGCGGCGCTTGGAGGGCCTAGCCTCGGGGGAGCTGGCGCGACGCTTGGACGATGACATGCTGCAAATCCAACGTCAGAAGAGGTGATGAAGGTCTTGGATGAAAGAATACTACATACGTCGGGGGAAGAATTACTTCAAAACTTGAAGCAAAAACAAAAGAAAAAAAGAAACAGACAGCCAAGCGGTCTTCAAAACTTGAAGCAAAAACAAAAGAAAAAAAGAAACAGACAGCCAAGCGGTAGTAGTGCCTAGCAGGGCTTTCGTTTCTAGCGCGAAAGAAAAAGGAAAACGTCGCTACCGCGCACGAAACACTTGACGCGTCTTCACAAAGGCGGTAAGGCACGCCGCTTCATGCCCGGCAGAAAACTCCACAGAGGGGCACGGTGTGGTGGATGGCGTTGGGAAGGAGCCATGGCAACACCAGACAGAATCGCAACCACCATGGCCCCACCAGCCAGTGAAGGGAGGGTAGGTACCTTATAGTCCACTTTCAGGTGCACAAATTCCAAGGTCGGATAGTGTAGTGGTAGCACGCCTGGGTTCGTAACGGTCTCCATTATACGGCTTTGGGTCCACTTGGGACTCCAGGAAGGCCAGTTCGAATCTGGTTCCGACCATTTTTTTTTTTTTTTACATGCTCTCCCCTATGCCATGGTTTCTCCCATTTTTTGTCTCAGCTGATTCGTTGTTTCCTCTTCACCATCCTGGTTTCCAGTGTGAAGTCCCCGTTTCTTGTCATTCGACTTTACGACATCCCGCCTGTACCTATATCACGGTAACGACGGTATTGTATTTCAAACTCTCTACGTAACTTGCTCTCAGCTCACCTAGCCAAACTGAACCAAAACTTCAACACCAAAAGCCGTCAGACAAGGCTGCCCCAAGAACGAAAACAAGACTCAAGATCCCATGTCACCCCTCCCTACTTCAGCAAATCCTGCGGTAAGTTCGTGCCCCTGAGCACGCCGCACGACTGCGGCGGATTCTGCCTCTTCCTCTTGCGCGGGCACTGCGTCGTGTTAGCCGCTCCCAGCTGGACATTGGCGCAGTATGTCCCAAGCAGCGGCACAATCAAACAGACGCGTCTGCGCACGGCACACTCGTTCTGCCCATTAGGGCCGCTGCCGGCGCGCGTGTTGCAGCTGAGGGTGTAGGCAAAATTCGAGTTGGACGGGCTGCGGATCACGCCGCCGTTGGAGGATGCCTCGCAGGTGATGCCGACGTTGGAGTCCTCGAGGTCGGCGTTGGTCTTGATGCTGAAGGAGCAGCCTGCCGAGCCGAGGGAGACGGTGGTGACGAGACTGAAGGCTGTGATGGCTGTGTTGGCGCGCGGGAGGAGGATGCTGCCGCTGGTGGGTTCGAGGGTGAGTGGTTCCGGTTCCGGGGAGGGTTCGCGGGCTGCGAGGACGTCCTCGAAATCGGCTGCTGCGTCGGAGCCGATGGTGAGGGCGCGAGCTGCGGCGAGGAGGGAGAGGAGCGCGAGGAGCTTCATCGTTGTGGCTGTGTGAGGGTTGTGAGTCGGAGTTGTGGATGAGGATGGAGAAGAGCTTCAGTTCGGAGAGGGAGGCATCGCGATTTTGTAAAGAAAGGACTGGACAGAATGGGAGGAGAGGATGCGAGCTGAACAGGTGGCCGTGAATTCGTGTCTGTTGACGCGGCATGAAGCAATTCGACGACCTTCCTTCTTGAGACGCATCAACTGCTGCCAGTGGCCCAATGGCACCATGAAGGCATTGACGTCGATCCTGCCTCGTTACGAGATACTAGGTGAAGTAAGTCGAACCCTTGAGCCTTGTGTGTTTGTGTTTCCAACCCTAGCGCTGACAGATTGTGGGACTACGCGCACGTAAGCAAAGGAATGTCACCCGACTAGCAAGAGGTTAGCTCCAATGATCATAAGCCCACGCATCAGGGATAGCACTTACGAATTTGGTAAATTCTGGGCGGCCAGCTATGCAGCCGTAGCCCCCTATTCCCCCTCGAGGCGGTCTTGTTCCTCTCAAGCAATTATCGCCGCTTCCACCTTCTCGTCAAGACCCTGGGTAAACACCGAAACTCCTTGCACCTTGTCAGTCTCACCGCGCCTCGCCTTCTAAGCGAGCTCATCAGCGGCTTCATGGAGGGTCGTCGTATTCCTCGGCATCCAATGCAATTCGATCCACATTCCATACCGTTCGACGAGCGGCTCCCGGTCTGGTGAGGGGTCCGGCATTGCCATTGATGTCATACTTAAATGTTGGAGTGATCCAATGCAAGGCTCGCGGGAACGCCGGCGAGGAAGGCACGCACAAAATCCAGTGTCAAGACAGGAACCTTTGACATGAGAGGCGAATTCCAGTTAATACCATACATTCTGCTGGTATTTGTCACTTTCTCCCAGTCATGATATGATGACATGTCCCAGTCACGATGTGACTCCTTCCTCCCGTGCTGGTTCTGCTGGTCTTCCCACTCCATCACCACATCGTCCCACACTTGAAGCTCGCCCAAGTTGCCTGGAGCAAATAACCCCCCTCAATCTTCAACGCCCTCTCATAGCACCCGAAGCCCTGATTACTCCGTAATGTCCCGCACCGCGTACCATATACGTGGAACCCATAACCCGGATCATCCAGGAACTTTCCGTAAAAGTCCCACTCACGGACTTGCGCTTGTGGCGTGGTCTTGTATCCAAATGAGATGCCGCCGGGGAACTCCTTGCTGTTTGTCGTTTCGTCGTTGTGGTAAATGGTGATGGTTGTGGCGGGCGAGTTGCAGTCGTTCCTGCCACACTAGATGGTGTATGCCCAGTCGTCTCGGAAGACTTTGATGCCTACTGCAGGCTTGCAAAGGGCGGTGACGGGGTTGCCCATGAGGATGGCACCGAGGACGGCAGTGAGGAGGGAGGAGATGTGCATGTTGACTTGTCTTTGCGAGAGATTCGAAGCTGTCGGGAGGTTTGTGAAATCGGGCGAGGTTGGAGAACAGACAATACATATGCGCTTGATGGCGCCAACGTTGGTATGGCTTTCACGATGGAGCCAGTTCAAATGAAACATTGCAATTCTTGGCGGTTGCCTGCCTGACGATGGGGTATCGTGATATTACGGTTGATACCGCTGATAGATACGATTGTCTCGATGAGGATAGGGTCAGCACGATAATACTTTGCTGCGTGACTCACTCGTGCAAGTTCAAATAATGTTCAATCACACGATGCTTGGGTGGCATCTTGGCCCCCAGAGCAGCCAGGGCGAAGGGGTACTCTTGTCCTCCACCCGTGCCAAGCACGGCCAAGCGCTGGGCCATGCGTTCGAGGCCTCGGAACTATTTCAGAGGGCATGTGCATTTTATTTCTACCTCTGCATGGGAGGAATAGTACCCGTCCCTCGTAGTTGGTAGCTCTCTGGGCTATGAAGAAACACCTGGGATGAGTGCTTGCCACGCATGGACGTCATTTCACGACGCCTTGTCCATACTCTTGGAGCAGCCATTTCTCATTTTCTTCCCACCCGCCGTCCACCTTTTCCCCTATAGCAAAGCTAACAGCTTTAGTCTATGTAAAGCGACACTTCACAAACAGATTCCCCGTAGCGCCCGTGTGCGTCATCAAGAAGCACTGCTCAAAGGCCCCCGGCGTCTTGTTGCTATCCGCGAAGACGACACGATCCGGCCCGGGGTTGCCTCCGGTGTAGTCCGCGCCGCTCGCCAAGATGGGATACTCGTAGAGATTCAGCTTGGCACAGGGCGAAGGATCGACCTCTGGCTTGTTGGCCTGGCCATTTCGGAACTCGTGGGGCCAAACGACTGGGATGCTGTCAGCTTCTGTGGCTAAATTTTCTTTACTCTGGGTTCATGTAATTACCTCCATTTCCTTGAGCAACAGTCTTGAGAGCCTTTCGGAGCCGAATGCCGTCTCCCATGGCGTTCTCGACAGACGTGAGGGTATGTTTTGTTGTCCCGCATGTATAGCCCTTTGACTGTCTGGCTTCAAGCTCGACTCCGGTAGCGTTCACAGCAACCGGGCTTGCAAGCGCAAAGCTGGATGCCAGGGACAAAACGGCCAGGATCTGAGTGGACAACATGGTTTCCGTCTGATAAAAGGATTGAGCGTGACTGGAATGCTGGCGATGATACTGAGAGCTGTGGTGATGTTGATCACAAACACAGATGACAAAAACACAGAAACGCCAGGCATTTTATACACGCATCACGGCCTTGAAGGATCAACTTCTCATGCTCGCCGACGGAGAGAACGGCAACCTGTCAGCCTCAACAAGAGCTGTAGATGAAAGGCGTCGACAATTAAAGCACGCATTAATTGGTTACGACCTGTCAGCGTTGGATCCTCCTTCATGCTCAGTAACGCTCGGCGACATTGTCAACTCAGGAAGCCGCATAGCGCTCGCCAACAGTCAATGTGGGCCTGTCAGCCGCAGCCAGCCCCCCCGTGCCGCTGACCATTCGTTCGTATGCGACGGCGCCAATATTTGCCTAATATGGGAATTGCGGGGAGTGAGGCAGCCGGAATCCCTCCCCTTATTACCGGCGATCCTGCTGCACAAGCACCAGACAAACATCAGCCACCTTGAACCTGTCTCACTCACTTCATTGTCAACAATCCCACCCACACACTCGCCTCGCAACTCTTCCAATTCACCTCACCTACCTCTCGTCAGCTAAGCAACCCCCCCAAAATGCATTCAGACTGGGTAGCAAAGCAACGCACCCTCGTCGCCAAAATCAACCAACACAACACCGGCAACCCCACCCCACCAACCCCCTCCGAAGACCTCATCATCACAACCCTTTCCGCAGTTGACACATCCAACATACCCACCATCAGCAACCAAATCATCGACTACCTCATCTCGGCCGGTCCGCCCGTCGCCGACGCATGGTACTTCTGCCATTCCCTCCTCCTCTCCCTAGCACAATCCACCTCCTCCACAACCACGCACCAGAACCTCACGACCCTCCTCTTCACCCTCGCCACGTCAACAACCCCCAACCCGGAGATCACCACAACCATCAACACGCTCTACGGCTTCGGCTGGTCTGTCCGCGACCTCTGGAACGGACCCAAAGCGCTGAGTTCCTACCGCGAGTCGCCTGCGCTGGCAAGGGCGGAATGGACCAATCTCAATCGGTTCATGGCGCACGTGAGCGTGCAGAATCGGGAGACGCCCGTGGAGCCGCTGAAAGGATGGGTGGAGGATTTTGGGATGTGGACCATCGTTGATGGGTTGGAGAGCAAGGGCGGGTGGGAGGATTACGTCGAGGCTGCGGCGGGGTGGTTGGAGATTGCTGGAAGGGACATTTATCAGGATGGGAAGTGGGGAGGGAGGGATGGGGTTGCGACGCATCTTGTGAGGGAGGGGGAGTTGTGGGCGGAGAAAGTGCAAGAGGGCGCTGGGTATGCAGAAAGGTGGGCTTTTTGGAGGGCGAGATTGACGGGTTTTGCGAGGGATGAAAATGTTGAAGAGGGGGTTAGGGAGGTTTGCAAGAGGGTTGAGGGTGTTATGGCTGGTTTTGAGAAGTGAATTGAACGTCGTGTTGGCGGGTTGGAGAGGTCAGTTGTCGAGACGGCGGGTTCGTGTAACGTATAGCCTTCAGCGGCGTTCCAATTGCAGTGATT